GTCTTCGCCGTGATATTATCTCGGGATATCATCGTTTGTAGTAATTACAAACAATCGAGGTGATAAAACAATTAATGTGCATTTAATTGTTAAACATTAAGTCACCCTAGTACATTTTGAGCAATCATAAATTGTAGGTCAAACTTTTATATAGTATAAGGGTGACAAACTTGTATATCGTCCACCTGATGGCACAGCCTGATGGTATTTGGTTGCTGAGGCCTATAAACACCTACATTAATGCCCGATAAGGATCGATCCTTATCGGGATGGGATGATGTAGATTGCATTGTCGCCCCCGAGGACTAAGATCTCCACTCACATATGAAACGTGGCAGCATTAAGCTGCTATCTTACGCTGGTATTCCGTAAGAACGTGGTCTTTACCCTGTCGTGTCGGCCTATCTGTACTGCAACCATAATAGAGCTGCAGCATGGCTCTACCACTTACAAACTTAAAATGTTAATAGAAATGTTTTGAATACATAAGAACTTTAGGTAATTAAGACAAGAAAAGAATAAAAAATGCGCAACTTATTTAAAACTTAGAGATACATATCTCATTGCCTAGTTTAGGACTTTACTAGTTTAAGTACGGGATAGGTGTACATAGTCATGAAGTAAATGGAAGAACCACAATTCTGTTCTGTATTTAGGTAATTTATTTGTAATTTGAGGCATCCAGTATTATTTCTTAGGACTGACAAGGCTTCTGCATTTTGATTCTAAATCGATATTAAAATTAATATTTATATGTACGATGTGGTAACGTGATCTCTACGTTACGTACAATAGTTTTTATTGTTGTGGAGAATGTAGGTACTATGGAATTCAATAAGGTCATGTTATATGAAGTGAACTGCAAGCTTGTTTACAAAAGTACTTAATATAAATAAAATTTTGAATAAATTATTGAAAACGCTGAACATTTTTCATTTATTGTAATCAAATATTATAAGGTTTCATATTGATAATATTAACTTAAAATTTTATAAAAAAATATCTAAATTTTATGAATGATATTTTAACGGTAGGTATTTTAAAAAGGCGCTTCGTCATTTCAAACATACAATTCAGAAAATAAGGATACCTTTTAATTCGAAATTATACAAAAAGCTGACGACGATGGAGCCATGAAATTGAACGAATCTGAACAAAATAGCCCCGGGCAGTTATCGCTGGAATAGATCTGACAATTTGTGAGTATTACAACACGGAACCGTCTACAGAAACCACAAATATTCTATACAAACGTATTGATTACTCGCGGCTCTCTGACCTTCATTTAAGTGCAGGTAACTTTGTTTTATTTGATGGTTTTTAAGATACTCATCATTAATTCTACACTATTTTTTTTTCTTGTTAAAAAGTAAAAGTTAAAAGCAGCAAATTGAATACGTTAAAAGTTTATTAGTTAGTATATTTGTCGTAGTCCACAACCTACAATAAACACATGTTCATTTTAAAATATGGCTTGTCAAAATTAACTCCATGGTCTTCTTAGCGTATCAAAAATAAACGTAAGTGGCCAGACCGTTTAAAGTGATAAGTATATTACTCTTTTTTTAAACTGAAGTGATAAACTTACTGTCTACCCGATGGTAAACGGCTACTGCCATCTATTGACACCTGAATCCAACGTTATGCAACGGCTACAGATGAGTTGTCATCTCTTAGTAATTAGTTCGACTGCCTCTCGGCCTGTAATTATACTGATTGTCTAAACCTAAGGCTGCAATAAAGAGGTGAAAGCTCTGCTATTTGGCGAAAAAATAATTAAGAGGCTGGTATTTAATCGGACGGATTCGTAAGCAGTAATACCACTTATTAATACCTACTCATGCCATAGTCATAATTATTTTGTAAGTTTTAAAAGCTCAGGCGATAAGCGTTTGCTTTACACAATACTATGCAAGCGAATCCGAAGCAATTGGTTACCCGGCAGCACTAATAAAATTTTATGCAGTAGTTTAATGAGGTTTAAGAATTGCTAGGTCAAAGAAAATCTAGTAAAAAAAACTTTTAGATAAAAAAATCTGATAAAAATAATATAAAATAACTAGTATATCCGAATTCCTTCAACATAAAAAAAAATAAAATAAAAATAATTTATTTTTCTTCACAAAAATTAAATGAATGACATAGTTGACTGGGATCTCCATTTAAGCAAGTAATGCCTGTGTTTGGAAATCCCGCTCTTCCTTATCTAAACATACATTTTTTAATTTAAAAAACCAAAAATAACAAAAACAAATTACTCGACTTTAACAACCAAAATTTATAAAAATTACAAAAGTGTGTATGTGTGTATGCGTGCGTACGAGCGTGCGCGCATGTGTGAGTGTGTGTGTGTGTGTGTGTGTGTGTGTGTATGTGTGTGTGTGTGTGTGTGTGTGTGTGTGTGTGTGTGTGTGTGTGTGTGTGTGTGTGTGTGTGTGTGTGTGTGTGTGTGTGTGTGTGCGCGTGTGTGTGTGTGTGTGTGTGTGTGTGTGTGTGTGTGTGTGTGTGTGTGTGTTAATGAAAAATCATTTTGTTAAATTATATTGTATATAGAAGTGAATTATGAAATGCGGTACAGCAGAAATTCGGTTTCTTCATAAGTTTTCGACTGCACCCACTTAAGTATCAGGTTTTTACACTCCCTGTACGTTTTGTTGTATATGTTCAATTCTCTATTTATTTTATTGTATAGGAATGCAGAACATGAGCTAAATTGCCTACTAGCAAAAACTGTTTTGGTACCAGAAGGCTTAACCACAATATCTTTTCGCCGCTTTTTCAAGATGCATGGGTCAAAGGACAGGGATTTGTGTGCTTTGAGGATTGTCATAGTAACATATAATTGTCTAACTGAGAGTAAACTACTTATTCTATACAGTTGTTCAGTGGAAAAACGTCTTTTTTTAAAATACATGACCTTAATAAGGGTTCGTTGGGCTCTTTCCAAGTAAAGAAATTTGGTCTTTGTAGCTCCACCCCACACCGAAATGCAATATGTTATGATAGATTGTGCAAGGGACATGTATATTTGGTTAAGAAGATATCTGGGAGAGTCCGATTGCTTAGTACTATCAGGTATTACGTGTCTTAGAGTTTTGAAAATCCAAATCAATTTTCGGGTCCTATTAATGACATGTTCAAGGTGTGGGTACCACGACAGCCTCTGATCTATAACGACGCCCAGATATTTAGTGTGAGAGACTTTTTCAATTGATGGGCAGTCACAAGCTTTGTTTTTAGCATCCTCAAAACACATATGAATTTTAAGGCAAAAGTCATTCTGTGGCTGCAAGTTGTTGGTAATGCTAAAGCAAATAAAATTTGTCTTAGCTGTATTCAAAGTGAGGAGATTTTGTTGCAACCATAGAGCGACTCGAGCTAGCCCACTTTCAGCACTAGTTTTGACAGCCTCCCAAGATTCGTCAGCAAAAACCAAAGCCGTGTCATCGGCGTACGACAGGATTTTGGCATTTGGTATGGTCATACTGCACAGATCATTGACATAAATTAGAAATAAGGTCGGGCCCAGAACGCTACCCTGTGGAACGCCATATGATGACACCACCGCTTCCCCACTAATGAACCCAGGAAGCTTAACCTTCTGTTTTCTCTCCGATAGGTAGTTTTTGAAAAGAGCAAGCGGACAACATGCAATACAAGGCATCATTTTGATATTTTATTGATGATAAACTCAGGTATCTACCACTAACTTTAACATCAACATCCACTACCACTCAGGAACTCAGTCCACTAATTGGTATCATGAGGACTGTGTGCCCTTTTTCAAACTTACTCCTATGAGAACTTATAATGACGAGATTCCGATTCGTATTTTATTTAATACAACCAACCCACCCTGGTTTCGCTTAGAATCTATAAATGAGGTGTCTTTTTTACATTTAAGATACCATTTATATTATCATTTATTCCAAAAAAGCTCACTTTACCGGATAATAGATCACTCCTGGCGCTGCTCACTTTCTGTTCATAAAGTTTCATTGCTATCACATTGGGCATTCTCAAGATTAGCCCGGACAGACAGATAAACAAAATTAAAAAAAAAATTGTTTGACCCTACAGGCCATACCTGAAACTTCCCGCAAAGTTTAGGTGTTAAACTTGGTAACGTAATAAAAAGTATATTAAAAAAACGTTTCTTTTTTAATTTTCTTCCTCGATATCTCATGAACGGATTAATCGATTTTATGTTCAAGACGGCATTCGACGCAGTTTTTTAAGTTCTACAAATAATGTAAGAAACACAAACTTGTTCGGTTGCGAAATCTCGAAGTTATGTTAAAAAAAAAACGTTTTTTTTTTTCAAATTCTTCTCCTTCGATATCTCACGAATGAATGAACTTATTTCTATTTTCTAAACGGCATTCGACGTCATTTTTTGAAGTTAAGAGCTGATTAGTTTTTGAAATCGATCGATCAATTCAAATTCAAAATTTGGAAATTTCTCAAAATCTACTCGTTGGCATTAGTTCATATTATCATCAAATCTATTCCACATTGAGATCTTTAGAACGCCGTAAACCGCATCTCAATCGATCTAGACCAGTGATGGGCAAAGTACGGCCCGCGGGCCACCTCCGGCCCGCGAAAGCATTTAATCCGGCCCGCCGACGGTCCTTCGACATGAATAGTATATGTCCCGCGATAATTATATTTTGATGGTCCATAAGTATAAAGTAGATTTTACTTAGTAGAATAATAGACGCATAGGTAAAGGAGCCAACTAGACTAGACGCGTAGCCGTAGTTCATGTGTTGCGGGTCGCGGGGCGTGGGGCGCAAAGAAGCGTGGTGAAGGGAGAGGCGCGGGCGCGGGTGAGTAATAAACTCAGTCGCCTACTGTCACCGAGTGAGCCGCACATAAAGTTTTGCTTGTTTGCGTGGGTAATTTTGTTTTAAATTTGTCCCGTGTTCTTTCTTGCTTGTTCGAGTGACGCACTAAATTCATAATTGTATCAAAAATAAAGTTCCGCTTTTGGGATAATGGCGTGTAAAAAACGAAAAGTTGATTCCGAGTGTCGACTGTTTAAAGAAGAGTGGGCTTGGAAATACTTCTTTACAGAATACAACGGTAAGCCAGTATGTCTTATATGTAACGAAGCAGTGGCGGTATTTAAAGATTTTAACCTCGCTCGCCATTTTAACACCAAGCATGCTAAAACCAAATATGCTTTAATGAATGACGCCGAAAAAAAGGTGAATGCGGAAAACCTAAAAAAAACAATATCTGGCCAACGAAATATGTTTATAAAGAAAAACACTGCTCAAAAAGCCTCTACACTGGCTGGATATGTTGTGGCTTATAACATTGCTAAAAATAACAAACCATATTCGGAAGGAGAGTTCGTAAAAGATTGGATGGTGAGTGTGAGTAACATTTTATGCCCAGAAAAAAAAGAGAGTTTGAGTCTGTCAGCTTATCGCGAAAAACAGTAACAACGCGAATTGATGCTATTGCATCAAACTTGTCGACTCAATTAATGCAACGTATAGAAAAATTTAAATATTTTTCCGTGACGATGGATGAAAGTACGGATAGAAGTGACACTGCTCAATTATTGATCTTCATTAGAGGCGTTGACGACGAATTTAATATTACTGAAGAGCTAGCTTGTTTGCAATCACTAAAAGGAAAAACGACGGGGCAAATAATTTATAACGAATTTTCCAAAGGTCTTCAAAATTTAAATGCTCATATTTCAAAATTATGCAATATAACTACAGATGGAGCCCCAAATATGGTTGGAAAAAACGCGGGATTTTCAGGTATTTTTCGGAACCAGAATCCTAATCAAGATGTTGTATTTTTACATTGTATAATTCACCAGGATGTCCTTTGTAAAGCTGCACTAGATTTTACCCATGTACTTAATGTGGTTATAAAACTAATTAATACGATTCGATCCCGGGGCTTGGTACACCGGCAATTCCAAGAATTTCTGATTGCAATCGACGCAGATTATTCTGATCTTCTTTACCACACGAAAGTAAGATGGTTAAGTTGTGGGTATGCATTTGAACGGATCTGGAATTTAAAAGAGGAAATACAAGATTTCTTAAAGAATAAAACAGACAAATGGTCTGATTTCCAAATCTTCGAAAACAAAGATTGGTGTACCGATTTTGCATTTTTTACCGATTTGCTCGAACACTACAACAAGTTAAATAAAAAATTGCAAGGACAGAACCAATTTATAGATGAGACTTGGGGTTGTCTAAAATCATTTAAAACTCAGCTTTTTCTGTTTTATAACTGCATGGCTAAGAACGATTTAACTCACTTTCCGCGTTTAAAATCCATGGCACCAGTGAGTGAAAACAAACTGAACGAATTTAGTCAGGCGTTGAAAAATCTTCACACAGAATTTGAAACTAGGTTTCAAGATTTTAAGAACATTCAGTCATCACTAGACGTTTTCTCGATGCCGTTTAATGTAGATCCGGAAAATATATCTGCAGAATTGCAGTTGGAAATTATTGAAATGCAGTGCAGCACCCATTTAAAACAACTGTTCTTAAATTCCACAAAACTAGATTTTTATAGAACATTGCCTAAAGCTGAATTCCCAAAGATAATTGCTCACGCCCAGAAAATTATGGCGATGTTTGCGTCGTCGTATGTGTGCGAACAGACTTTTTCGACCATGAAATTGCGGAAAAACTCAATCAGAAACCGACTTACTGATGAACACCTTTTCGCGCTGTTGAAAGTTACTTCATCACAGCTCGAACCTGCATTTGAAAATATTATGGCAAATCAAAAGCAATTTCATATGTCTCACACGCCTACCACAGCAGGGCCTTCAAATAAAAGTTAAAGTGTAATTTTTAACATTTGTGCAAGCATATATGCTGTAATGTTTTATATGATTAAAGGTTTCAACACAAAATGCATTTTTCCTATAACTCTGGCCCTCCTATGAAATTTTTTTAACTTTCTGGCCCCCCAATAAAAAAAGTTTGCACACCACTGATCTAGACGTTCAAAAGTTATGAATGGTTTACATACGTACGTACCGACGTCCACGTGAAATTAGTCAGAATAGCTTCCTGGGATCTCAAAACGTCGAGATCTGATGAAAACTCGATTTTCGAAAATCGGGGTGAAAGCAATAACTTCCCTTTTTTTTTTGTAATTTTTCAATTTTCTTAGCGGGAAGTTAAAAACAGTTAGTTATTCATGATATAATGGTATGTAAATAACTACCTCAGTTTTAATTAAGGCAGTAATTTTTATATTAAAGGCAGACACTTCTATTTTCTTTATGTTACGTTATTGGTGCTACTTCTATGCTTCTTTTCCTTTTAAAAAATGAAGCTGCACCTTAAATTAATTTTGACATGTAACACAATCCAACCACAAACTATACGTGTAGGTATGTTCTCACGAATAAACCTTCGCGTCATGTTTTGTTTCTTGCTATGTCGGTGTTATCGTTTTATGTAACACATATATCGTAGCAAATAAATATAATGTTACCATTTCGTGAATCAAACCTATTAAATGTGACAACTGGTGGACCATTCTTAAGCATAAAATGTGACGTTTCCTTGAAATTAGTTTCGTTATATCTTTGTTGTTAGCGGTATGAGAAATAATTTGATACATTACTATATATAAGGTGGGTGGACCATTGAAGGCCATGCTCCTTTGAACGCCAATTATTAAAATGTCGTAGTTATTGCCGTGTGATGACAAATTCCTTCTACTTACACAAACACCCATCGAACTTAAAATCACAGACGCGAAGGCGAATCGCTCGCGCTATTATTTTGGCAGTACGGTTCCTCGCTTCATTGATTTCGGGAATCGACGACGGTAATATAATAAGGTGGGTGTACCATGGAAGGCCTCTCTGACAATTAAACAGTTATTATTCGTTTATTTACTGTATAAATGAAACTAACAAATATTTAAGTAATACTTTGTTTATTACGTAACATATAAATCACTTCTTTTTACTGCAGATTTAATCGCTATTTATTAAACTTGAATGTTAACTGTTAAATGACTGATTTCTTATAATGGCCTTCTAAGAAGCCTTGTTCCTAGCAAGGCCATTTGGAAGTTTTCAATGAAACTTAAGTTCAATCGATATTGATTAAATCTGCAATTTAAAAAAGGGGTTTATATGTTATCTAATAAAACTACTTTGTTTTACTTAAATATTTGTTAGTTTCATTTATCCAGTAAATAAACGAATAATAACTTTTTAATTTTAGAGTGGCCTTACATGGTACACCCACCTTATAAACAACCCTTACCAGTTGATAATGTTAAAGAAGTTGTAGAAAATGAAGAAGAAGTAGCTAATGTTATTCCTGAAGAATAACTCTTAACATGTACTCCACAGTATATAATATATAGGTTTTTTAAATATATTAATTGAACAATTAATATCGTTACTCTTGATAACATGTACTATAACTCAAATTGATATCATCGGATGGACTGTTCGCTCACTTGTCACTAGGGTTGCCAGCGGTCGTTTTATGTCAAGTTAAAGGATTTGATACGATTAAATAAAAGACATAGCATAAAAATAAATGGTATCATATTGTTTTCAATAAGAGGCTGTTATGGTATCATTTGCGTCATTTATTAATAAAAAAGTAATGCTAATACGCTTTGCAGCATGATTGGTCTCTCTAACATTGCGTGTCATCTCAACGTGATTTTTAAACCCTTTGACCTCAACTATCAAAGGGAATGTCCTTTAATAAAGTTTTCAAATTAAGGGACAAGATTAATTTTTAGTTAGGTATTAGTTCATGTGGACATCTTTTGAAATAAAAGACGTCTGATAACACCCTTACTCCTACTAAAATGGCTTTTCTGTCTTTGTTCTTAAACATTAATATTTAACCCACTGTGCATTGGTATCTAAACACATTACGTCACTGAATAACCTCTTTTCCGTTGAAAGTGTGTCAACAAACACGGAGCTACACTTTTCCTCAGTCCACGCTGACACAGTTTTGGTATTACAATCACGATGACGAGAAATGCACGACATCCACGTCGTTGCATGAAAGTGAGACACGAGTAATGAGAAAAGGCAGTGCAGTACCGCATTGTATTGTGTACTTTTAATTTTCCATTTCATATTCATTTTTCTGTATAGTACACATTTCGGAATGTCTTGAAACATCTTTGATTATATTTTTTACAATGCTTAAATATATGACGTCATAGGTTTTAAATAAAGACCTATCTAACCACATTAGTTATATTGTCTACTGATTATATTCTCTATGGTTTTAAACATATCACAGAAGGACGTAAAAGATTCCACTAGCTTTTTTTTAAATAACGTTATCCCCACACTATGACTTACTTCTGTATCGTAGAGGCAGTTCATACACAAATTGCACAAGGACAAACATCCAGACCCGGAACAACTATTTGTAGGGCCATACAAATACTATTTCCATTCGAAATTCGAACCCGCGGCCCTCAGCGTTGTAATTCTGTCATTGCAAGAGGAGACTAAGTGCGGTATCTTATAGTTTCCAACAGATGGCGGTATAACCATTTCGTTTGTATCAGAATAAACAGGACGGTGGCGGGCAACTACGTTAAAAGTAAGAAAAGTCTGGATGCTGTAGCCCATAGACACCTACATTTATCCCCGATTAGGAATCAAAATACGGATGCATCGTCAGCCCTGAAGACTAAGATGGATTGCGTCGTTACCAGTAAAATGGGTCACCAATTCTCTGCACTCAATATACGAAACAAATGAGTATTAAAGCTGCTATTGTACGCTGGTATTCTGTGAGAGCATGTTCCTTCCCCGGTCGAGCCTACTCATTCATGCTACAACCATAATATAGCTGCAGTGTAGCTCTCCTCTCCTATAGGCCCAAGTCTCTCAGTGGACTTTAATGGACACATGAAGGAGAAAATTTTAAAGTTTTAAACCCATTTTAAGTTTCCAGCGATTTATTTTGCATTTATTTACAGTCAGTGCCATAAATAAATGCAGTTTATACAATTCTAAAAATATTATTCCAACATTTTCCTAAGGTGCAGTTCAAAAGATCGTCCCCGTATAACGCACAAACGGAACCCTTTCTGGTTGTGTTGCTCTTCTTAAATTTACGTAAAAGTTTAAAGGATTTTTATTTATTCGCGAAGGGAACAATTTGAACTTGCTGAGAAATTCAACGGCACGATGTTTTAATATATCGGGGGCGAATCAACACTGAACGCTTCAGATCATACGACATGTGAAAAACTCCCCCCCCCCCCCCAATCGTCATTCAATCTAGTTCTAACCCGTCTGTCCTGTGTGACAACTATGGAAAATATCCTCCCGCAAATATAACATAATATATAATTCTAAAATAATGATATATAATAATATGTTCGATAACCGATAGGGAAGAAAGGTTCTCGCGTAGCAGCCTCGTACCAGTAAACGAAGTGTAGCTTGGCCTCCCACTAGACGGAGTAACGACGATGTGGTAAGACATAAAGTAGATGGACCGTACTTTGTGGCATTCCTTGAGATTACAGTTCAGTAGTGCACTTGTGAAGAACTATAATGATGATGATGATGATGATGATAAAGTTTACTTTATTTGCTCTCACGAGCTTACATTGCCATGTATATAATACCAAGCTATGGTGGTGGCTCAGGATCTCAGGATTATCTTGCAGAATTGCCTCGTAGTTATTACAATTTTATTACAATTTCGTTCAGTATGTCTGAAAAAATCTAGGCCTACACATTAACAGCACGCTGAATTGGAGAACTCAGGTTTCAGAACTGAGTCGTAAAGTCATTTCCACGTTACGTTCGCTTTATCGTTTAAAACATTTTCTTTCCACACAGCCTAAAAGATCATGCTTGTCCAATCGCACCCGGATCTTTGGAGAAGCTAGAACGTCTTCTCAGTAACTGTATAAGATTTATTTTCGGGATTCGTAAGTATTATCATATTTCGCAGAATAGATCTAAGCTTAATTAGCTTATAAACCATCGCATCGCATGAAAGCACAATGTACCTCACAAGTAATATATATTACATTAAATTAGATTGTTTAGTGCGGTTGCCAAGTCAATCTATTTATTTAAAACATTAAAGATTTTTAATATTGATATGGTCACTATAAGATGTTGTTAGGTTAGTTAATTACGTAATAATTTAAAATAGAAGGACCCTTAAGTAGGGACTGAATAAATTAACCGACTTGGTATTACAAAGATCTCACAACTTTTTACGTTAGAAGAACTGGTTGCAAGACTTGGTTTTTTACAAGTTATTTTTTGATGGCATCTCATTTCTTTTTGTAGATAGTCCTACTTTCTTTACTTTCCGGTACCTTCTACTTCTTGAATACAGACAATGTACCTATCTACACCTATTATTCCATTATATTATACATAATATACAGGTACACAGATTCATTCACTGCAAATGTAACTTTGCAATCCTATATATTATATGGGATTACAAAGTTATTTATGCAGTTGATGTATCTAGAAAAGTGGACCGAAATTACAAAATATATTAGTTTTTCCTTAATTTATACACTAAACACTAATTTTATTCTAAATTTCAAGCTTCTACGTCTGCTAGAAGTGCCTTAGAGTTCTGATGATCGGTCAGTCAGTCAGTGAGTAACAAAATGAAGAAACTTTGAATAGTTATAATTCTTAAACTACTGGTTCAAATTATGAAATTTGAAATATACCGTGTTTATACAATGCCTGCTTGGTTACTGAAAATTCAGGCTTCTAGTTTTATCCACAACGAAGTTATAGGGGGTCGAAAATGGCCTGAGTTGCTTCGAGAAAAGTATGGTACG